AGAGTAAGAGATAGAAGTGTTCATATCTGCTTATTAATTTTCCAGTACATATTATTTTCCATGGCTTTTATTTGTTCAATATATAAAGAGATGAAGGTGATGAGAGAAATGAGTAAAACTTAAATATATATGTATATATCCAAAACATAATCTCGTTAACAATAAGAAAACTTTTTGTATGTTTCAGCCTCTCCGACCTCCGCCATGCCTCCCACCAGGTGGGTTGTGTCTGCCGTTGGCCGATGGCTCGTCATAGTCATTGGTGCTCACCATCATCAATGATCTTCCTCTCACCACCACCTTTTCATTTTCTGTTATGCATGCAATTCAATTAATACATATTAAGAGAAGCTATAACTTATAACCACAGTTGAATAATATATTACAAAACGGCTCTATCTATCTCCTTTGACACGCATGTATCAAGATTTAATCAACTAATTGACTGTATACGAGATAGATCTAAACCCTTTTTATTTAGACTATGATATATCACTATAATCAATCGAATAAAAAAAAAAAACTGTAAATCATTATATTGATTGAATATATGAGCTAAACTGTTCTAATTCTCTTCTAGTTACCTGAAAATGGAAAACCGAGTCTAGCCGTAGAGACGATTGAAAGTGCAAAGAAGATGCATAGACACAGCCTAATCGCAGAACAATAACCCATCCTCTCTAGTTTCTCCTTTCCCTCGTCTTTCTCTATCTCTCTACACAATTTTTTTTTTGACTTATCTCTTTGAAGAGATCAACTCGGAAAAATAAGTTGTATTATTAATGAGTTAGTTTCGCAATAAAATGAAAGATGGAAGCACAGAACATGTTTGTGATGTCCAAACAACAGCTGATTTATATAACACATGGCATTGTCTTTATTGGATGTATGAGTTGACTATCTGCAGACAATATGTGGATTCCACACTGTTAAGTTAAACAGTTAACTCAGAAGCAAAGCGAACATGTGTTTGCATGGGGCGTTGACTTACGTGCACCGTCCGTTACAAAAATGTCAACGTCAAAAGTTTTGGCCAAAAAAGGATTTTGGGATTTCCTCGCTTTATAAAAAGAAGATTTTCTAACGATCATGTGGGGTTCTTACTGTAATCACAGATATCCTTTTTGTTTTGTTGACGTCATAGCCTCAGAGGTATTGCGTATTCTTTTAAGTTTAAAGTTGACATTAACAATCGAACCTTTTTTTCGAACTTGTAAGTTCAAAAAAAAAAAAAAAAAAAAAATTTTTAAACACTGGAGATTCATTAACATACCAAGCCAGGAGGTATTTCTATTGTTGTTAATTAAAGTTGACATTAACAATAGAACTATCATTTCTCAAAAAAAAAAAAAAAAACAATATAGAACTATCACTACCTAAGGGCATGATTAATCATAGCACTCCATATGGGATGCATTTTTTTTTAGTTTATCAGATTTTTTTTTTAAAAAGAACGAACCTTTTGTGGGACGTTATGTGTCCATAGAGTCTGCGAACAGTGTAAGCATCCAACAAAAAAAAGTGTTTATTCATGCCACTTTACAACCGGTTTTTCTGAACTTTGTGGACTCACCCCCCTCCTAAACACCCCACTAAGCCCTCTCCATTAATCATAGCCTAAGAGCATTTTTATCCCATGTTTTTAGGGGATTTCTTATTCCGAGGGGTCCACAAAAACCATAAAAACCGATTACAAAGTCCCAGATAAAAATCGATTTAAGTAGATTTCTTCTATTGTTCGCGGACCCTCCTGATACATGGCGGTCCAGGATTGGTATGTTTTTAATTTTTTTTTAATCAGAAAATAAAATAAGAAACTCAAATGGGTTTCCTAATAACTTCAGGGTGAGATATTTTTAAATTTTGAATAATTTAAGATTAAGATGAATATGATAATAATTTTAGGAGACTTAGATGTATTCTGCCAAATTTAAGACTGCACTTTCTCCAACTTTGTATATTTTGAGAAAAAATAAAACAAGGCCTTATACGGGCCACATAAATTATTCAAAAGAGATCGGCCCATTAAAAGCCCAATGCGCCGTATAACTCCACTCATAAAATATCCCTTTCCATGTCGTAAAACCTCCCAAACTCTCTTTACCTCTCACAACGCCGCAACGTAGCGAACAATCGAATCCACGAAGAAAACTTCAATCCCTAGATACTATGGCCACCAACGAACCAGAGCACGAGCCCACCAGAGAGGTCGAAGAAACCGGAGCTAATGACGATGAGGACACCGGAGCTCAAGTCGCTCCGATCGTTAGGCTTGAGGAGGTCGCCGTCACTACCGGCGAAGAAGACGAAGACGCCGTCCTCGATCTGTAAGTCTCTACTAGATCTAATCGAACATCCCTAGCGTTTTGAGATTTTGTTGATTGTAACATTTTTGTTTTGTGAAATTTTTTGAAGGAAATCGAAGTTGTATCGGTTTGATAAAGAGGCGAATCAGTGGAAGGAGAGAGGTGGTGGCACTGTGAAGCTCTTGAAGCATAAGAGCAGTGGGAAGATTCGTCTCGTTATGAGGCAATCTAAAACTCTAAAGATCTGTGCTAATCATTTTGGTAAAATTAGTGTTTACTTTATTGTTTGTTTTAAGTTAGTTAGGGGTTACTGTTTTATTTATTTTATGGAACTTGTTGCAGTGAAAGAAGGGATGAGTGTTCAGGAACACGTGGGAAATGAAAAGTCGTGTGTATGGCATGCGCGTGACTTTGCTGATGGTGAACTCAAGGATGAGCTTTTCTGCATCCGTTTTGCTTCTATTGAGAGTGAGTTTGATATTTGATTCTGCCTTTACTTGTCAAGTAGATTAGCTCTGGTTACTTTGTTTTCTATGAATATAAGCTATTGACTGACATACCGTATCTCATATACTAATCTCCACTTGTTTATGCATGTTGCTTTGGCTTTGGCTTATATATTCGTAGTACATAATTGTTAAAACGTGCAGCCATTAGATTACTAATTACTAATGGATACAGAACGCAGCTTTGTTGCTAATTGTTTTTGGAAAATTTCTACTCAATGGTTTGGTTTCATTATAGCTCTAGTTTAGAGCTGCCAATTGCTTGGTTTAGGGTTTAGGGTTTAGTATTTACGCTTTCTTCACTGTGTCTTTAAGCTTGGTAATCACACAGTCAGGAGTTGCTATGGCTTCTAGATTATGCTTGCGTTACACTAGAGAGAGGCAACGATCTTGAGGTGGTTTAGGCTGCAACTAATTTGATATGCCATGAGCTGAAAAGTTTAGGTTAAGATCTACTTTTTATACTGGGTTGTATATTTTTCAATGGTTTGTAGATGATAATGCCATGAACCGATGAGTTTTTGTAGAACTGGATTGGTAACTAATCAAGTCTTATTTTCCTTGTCAGACTGCAAAGCATTTATGCAAAAGTTCAATGAAGTTGCCGAGTCTGAAGTAGAGAAAGAAGAGAGCAAAGATGCCTCTGACACCGCTGGTCTTCTTAAGAAGTTGACCGTGGAAGAGACTAAAACAGAAGAGAAACCTGTGGAGAAGGTAAAGACTGAAGTGGAAGCTGACGAAAAGAAAAAAGACGAGCCAGAGAAAGCTGATGAAGAAAAGAAAACCGAAGAGGCTGCTCCCTCAACTTAATATACATCAACGTTTAAGCTCTTAAATATTGGCGAGGTATTATAAGCCTATAAGTGTTGGGATGCATCTATCTCGAGTCTACTATTGTCAGGGCACTATCTATCTATACATGTTTTGTCGAGTCATATCGCTTGGGGGTCGGGTTTTGCAGTGTCGTTTTGGGTCTACAGTTTTTGAGTCTAAGTACATTGGATTCATAGTAGTCTTAAGGTTTCTCTTGTGGAACGTATTTTTAGATGGTCTTATAATGGTGGGTAAGAGATGATGTTCGTTCATTGCAAGAGTCGGAACAAAATTAATGGTTTCTAATATGATATTTCGGACAAGTAAAATTTCATTAAGAAATTGAATTAAAAATCAAAGATATTTGATCTATACGCAAAAGGGTCGGTCAAACTGTTCACACGGAACCAACAACCACCATGTATCTGGTGCACATTCATTTTTAGCTATGATACAAATTTAGAAATACCAAAACAAATTTAGATATGCTAGATACATGTCAACATTAACTAATTACAGTGGTTAACACATAACTGAAGTATTTATTTACGTCGTTTAGTACTTCAACTGCTAGTAATTAGGAGCAGCATCTTAATGAAGCTATGTGCAACTGCTAGTCTGCAACCACTTCTCACGCGTCATCTTTTCTTACTCGTCCATTTTTTTTTGTAATAGTACATGAGAGTTAAGATTCGAAGCCAAATTATATAAATAGAAAGCATAAACTAGAAGCCTAAACCAAACAACAACAACAAAAAAATGGGTTTCAGAAGAACGTCGTTGGTTTTGTATATTCTCTTCATCTATTATCTTCAGCACAGTTTAATTTTCATGAGCTCACTGCCTCCCTCAGCTGATACGAACCACGAGAGTGTTCCTTCTAGTGCATCAGAGTCTGATGTTGTTGGGTATGAAGGAAAGACTCAGGAGTTAGCTTTTGTTAACTAAAAAGGAGTTGGTGGAGGACATGGAGGTCGAAGCCGATCACATGGCCGTGGAGGTGTGATTCATCCCGGCGGATCGAAATTCTGATCGTTCAAGCGGCAGCATGGGCCATCGAGGTGAAGTGTGTACGGTCGTCAGGTTGGGTTTATCGGTGGTAGTCGGGTTTATTCTTGGTTTAATTTGAACTTAATTTATATATGTGCTAAAAGGAATATGCTTGTCTAGATGGCACTATGGCTTATGTAATGTGTCGATCGTATTCAATAATCTCTATAATATTATTTGAGAAGTCAGTTTCCTATGTGTCGCGTTAACTCTCGCGATGGTTGATTACATAGGTACCCTTAATGAATTGTTAGATTTTAAGATTATTATTAATTTTTTTATTTAGTTTTCTTTTTACTTTTTTCTAAAAAAAAATATATATAATAAAAAAGGAATATTTCTAAAATTGTAAAACAAATTTTAAAACGAAAATATATGTATATAATATGACTTTATTAAAAAGGAAAGTTCACAAAATAGTAATATCCTCATTAATATATATTTTAAATAACATAAAATATATATTCAAAATAATAAAAATATAAATGTTCATGAATATTCAAAAATTACCAGTTACAATTTAATTATTTTGTAGAATTTATATATATGCATGAGACTTCAAAATATTATCATTATATTCATTTATGTAATTTTGAATCAAACACTTCAGTTTATTATTTATTTCATTGTAAGCACAATATATATTAAGTTATACATAATTTAACTATAATATATTTACATATCTAAGACAATAACCAATCAAAATGAAAATAAGAAAATTAATCAAAGTTTTATTATATTTAGAATAAAAATATTATAGTTGAATTCTAAAAATAAATATTATCCAATATACCAAATTGATAACCATACCGACTATTGATCCAAAAAATAATAAACCGACAATAATATATTCATAGTCATATGTCTAATTATAATAAGATAATATTTATTAATATAAATTATACATATAAATTTATTCAAAACTAAAACTAAATATCAATCAATTATTATAAAATTTTACTTTTATGAATATTCATACCCGTGCATGAGCACGGGAAAATCACCTAGTAGAACAAGTATTTCACCAGTTGTTTACTCAACAAGAACCATGCATATTTATTTAAATTGGTAAAAGCAAACGCAGTGGCGTACTAGAGGCAAAATTAAAAATTATCAAATATTTTTTAATAAATTAATAATATTTTTATTAGTAATATTATATTTTAAAATTTATATTTTAAAACCATTGATGGTCAAAAAAATATAACTGTAAAATATATTTAATTTGTACTTTGTTATAATTAATTTTCTACAAAAATTAATAGAAATGTTTTCCAAAAACATAAAACAATACTCTAGTCATTGTATTTTGATTATTTAGTTATATACCACTTAATTTGTATAAACAGGTATATATAGTTTGTAAATTCCTTTGCACAAACTTTCATGCTATCTCTCTTCTGTTTCTAGCTTCCGTTGCATCTTGCATGCAACACGAAGTTTCATGTCCTCACTCTTCTATCTTGCTTTCCAATGCACTTACCTAACTTTTTAAAAGACATTACAAGAAACTAGATATCAGGGGTGGATGATAAGACGTTGAACATGGAACTTCCAGCTGGTCGGTCCATGAATTACAGTTGAAATCATCTTCTCATCGTTACTTAATTACAAAATACCAAAAACATCCATGTAACACACTAATTTAAGTGGTTAACACAACACTTCAAGTAATGATTGCGTTTGATGTTTTGCGTTTTTATGACCAAAAAAAAAAGTTATTTATTTTACTTGGTTTATAGTGCTTCAAGTTTCTATAAATATCTAGTATTAGACTTTTCAAAGTAAACAGTCAACCACTTGTGCCGCGTTTTTTCCTCAACTTCCTTTTATTTGAATAACTTAAATCGAAATTATATAAATGAATGACAAACGGGAAAAGTGAGCAAGAAACACATAAACGAAACGAAAATGAGTTTGAGAAGAACATCGTTGGTTTTATACATTCTCTTCATCTTTCATCTTCATCACAATTTCTTTTCAGTTAGCTCAGTGTCTTCCTCAGTTCATACGAGCAAAGAAACTCTCCATCTCAATGAGTCAAAACCAGTTGTTGTTGATGTGTTTGAAGAAAAGGCTCGAGAGTTAGCTGTCGTTATCAAAAGAAGAGGCGGTGGAGGCGGCGGTAGCAGTATGGGAGGAGGAGATGGTGGCAGCAGTGGTAGCAGCACGAGTGGAGGAGGAGGTGGTGGTGGCGGTAGCAGCATGGGAGGAGGAGGAGGAGGACGTGTTGTTCCGATTAATGCTGGTGGTAATAGGACTCGTGGATCGCATCGTTCAAACGGCAGCCAGAATATTCGAGGAGCAGTATGTGCGGCCGGTTGGTTGGGTTTATCTATTTTAGCCGGTTTAATAGTGGTTTAGAAAGGTTTTTGTATTGGTTCGCCATTTTAATTTGGGGTGTATATGTCTTGAAGGTCAGTTGTTTGGTAAAGTGTCAACGATATTCAGTTAGTACTTTTATATTTGTGAAATTTCGAAAAGCAGAAATCAAACATTCTGAACACCAAGGCTTTGACTATATCTATATGTCACATTTAGAGTAAAGTAATCAAGGAAACAAATTAATTAAATATTATTTACTCTAAAAGTTTATCAGTTAGGTAAAAATTAATTTTCTTTTATTTCCTTTAGTTTTTTTTGTTTCCTTTAGTTACTGCTAAAATAAAGTAAAATACCTAAACAGATTTATTCTAACTCAAACAATAGTAAATATTTTTATTCCCTCCCTCATTTTTATTTTCCTTTAGTTACTATGATTATCACTTTCCGTCATATCATGCACAATGTTTATAGATTTCCAATGTATTTGTGAGAAAATGTTTTAAGAAAAGGATCATCACAAATTATATTAAACAAATGTAAGTAATATGGAGAGTACTGTTGTACTGTGGAATTGACTGCACACATGATGTATGATATAATTAATCAAACTACACACTATGATAAATTCATCGTATTATAATGCAAAGTATATAATGTCGTGCCAAGGAGTCAAACTTTTTTCATCTCATTATTCTTCTATCTTATCTAAACTTCATATGCAGCCAAGAGACAAAATATTACACCCACAAATATGACCTTTTATATAGAAAAAGCTTATCTTTTTATTCTTATGTTTATACTATGGTTTACAATCCACCAATATTTTTAAGAAAATCAAAAGTTGTTTTAAAAGATATATATGGAGAAATATATAGGAGCAGCTTCTTAATGAGACACTGAACCTACGTGGAAACGGCAACCACTTTCTCACGCGTCCTTCTTTTTTTTTTTGTAATAGTACACAGAGTTAAGAGTTGAAGCCAGTTTATATAAATAGAAAGCATAAAGGCAAATGCTAGAAGACACAGAAACCAAACATCAACAAAAAATGGGTTTCAAAAAAACATCGTTGGTTTTTTATTTTCTCTTCATCTTTCAGCTTCAGCATAATTTGCTTTTGGTTAGCTCACTACCTCCCTCCGTTGAAACGAACCATGAGACTCTTCCTTTTAATGCATCAGTGCCAGATGTTGATGCGTTTAAAGTTATAAAGACTCGTGAGTTAGCTGTTGTTATCAAAAAGGGAGGAGGAGGAGGACGTGGTGGTGGCAGCAGTGGCGGCAGGGGAGGAGGAGGTGGCAGCAGCAGCAGTGGCGGCAGAGGAGGATCAGGAGGTGGAGCTCGAATCATACCACGTGGTTGGGCAGGTGCAATGCATCCGGCCGGATCGCATTCTCATCGTTCAAGCGGCAGCATGAACCTTCGAGGGGTAGTGTCTGCGGTCGGCTGGTTGTGTTTCTCGGTGTTAGCCGGTTTATTCTTGATTTAGTCTGAACTTGATATATGTACGTTGGTCTAGATAGCACTATGGCGTATGTTAAGTGTCGATCATATTCACTAATTAGAAGAATTGGTTTCATTAGTTGCTTTTATTTAAATTCGTAAAAGCAAACGTTAACTCCTATGATAGCATCGTCCACTTATTTTTTTTTTTAAATACCATTTAGTGGGATTATTGTCTGTTTTAATTCCGTTTGGTTCATAATTAGTAAGATATATAGACATGCATAATCTCATAAGCCATTGCAAAACAATATCGCTTAGCTCCGCGGACACGACATCAAAATATGAAAAGTCAAGACCCACTCAAGAAACTGATTAACTATGGCCACCTGCAACTATACTTAATGAGACATACACCACAGACAGACTCAAGAAATGACCAGTACCCACTTATAACATTTTTAGCAAAGCAAAGAAACACACGTTAAAGGTTATTCAAGACACGCCAGTGGCGCATGCAACGTTAGAGCATATAGGTCAGGGTCACATGCTCCCTACGTATTTGTGAAAATATGATTTATGTTTCTGATCGTTTTAATTTCTCTATAAATAATAGATAGGAAAATAAGTATTGTATTGTGAGTTGACTACATATTTTATGTAGGATAGGATGTAATTAACCTATATCATGATAGCTTCGTGCTATTAAATTTCACAGTTTAGGGACCAAAGACACTCATGCTTTTTTTTCTTTGGAACTAAAAAATATATGATGACTTGATGATTATGCAAACCTGTATATCAGTGTTAAGTATTTCACCCGCCATTGATATTAATACGCAGATGATAAGGCTAAGAAAATGCTTAGGCAATATCAAAGAGGTCACTATCAATTTGTATAGAGTTTTAAATTTCTTTGCGTTAAAGGTTATTCAAGACATGCCAGTGGCGCATGCAGCGTTGGAGGATATAGGTCAGGGTCACATGCTCCCTACGTATTTTTGAAAATATGATTTATGTTTCTGACCGTTTTAAGTTTCTATATAAAGAACAGATAGGAGGAAAATAAGAGTAATGGATTTACATAAGTATTGTATTGTGTGTTGAGTGCATATTTGATGTAGGATGTAATTAACCTATATCATGACAGCTTCGTGCTAATAAATTTTACAGTTTAGGGACCAAACAAACTCATGCTTTTTTTGAACTAATAATTATATGATGAATTGTTGATGATTACGCAAATCTGTATATCAGTGTTACTTATTTCACCGCCATTGATAATAAGCAGATTATAAGACTATGAAAGTGCTTAGGCAATACTAAAAGAGATCACTATCAGTTCTTTTAAATTTCGTTGCACAAAGTTTCATGCAATCTCTCTTGTATTTCTAGCTTTCGTTGCAATTAAGTAACACAAAGTGTCATGTTATTATCTCTATTCCATTTCTAGATATCCTTGCAGTTAAGTAAGATTTTGATTAACAAAACTATAATACTCCTATGTCCATATTGGCTTAACCTGCATTTGATTTACAATTCCACAATAGTTAAGCAAATAAATCAATCTAAGTTTTGTTTAGATAATATATGTAATTAATAATGTTACATGGATTTCAATTTGTGACCTATGGTATTCTCTAGTAAGTTTTTGTTTTCTAATGTTAGTATAGACTAGAAAATAATGTTCAAAATTTAGAACTTACACAAGGGGGTTATCAGTTCTAGATTTCAATAAGACATAAAAGAAAGAAGTTTCAGTTGGTCGGTCCATGAGTTACACTTGAAAACATCTCTTAACTACGTAATTAACTTCGAATCCGATAACAGCTTCGACCGAGCCTTACACACTCCAACCAGTGCAAGATCTCAGCGTTGGGGTCTCTCTCGGTGACCACAACAGTCGCCGTGATCTGCATCACTCCTCTGTACAAGCCGACGCGGCCACGAACGCGAGCTACGGCTCCGATTCTGACCTCTGCTGCTTGTTTACGAGCGGCCCTAGAGTACAGCAGAATCGTGGATTGGTCGAGCCGGTTGAAGTAACGAGAGGTGAGTTGGTTGAGCCACATGATGCACGTGACGCAGCCAGTGCCATCGTCAACACTGAACTTGAGGAAGTTCGGGGTCATGTCGCGAGAGACGATCGTGCCCACTGTCTCTACGCGTGAGACCCACGAGATGCCTCCCAGGGAGAAACAGTTGGCTTCTGTCGGTGATGGTCTCAGGCGGTGGATGTCGCGTGACATGAGTTTCGCGTGTGTGTTTTGTAGTGATCGATCCATGTCTGGACAGAGACCATAACAATGAAGATTAATGCGGGAATGCGAGAATCCACAAAGCCGAATGGCCGTTAAACAATATCATCAAAAAAAAGTTATCTGAAAATAATTCTACAAGTTTAGTATAATTTTTTGAATGAAATCATTGTGTAATTTACTCTACCTTATTAAGAATTAAAAAGTAGTAAAGTACTAGTGTTGAGAAGAAACTATCTAATGACAGATGACGATTTTGAAATCTTACTTCATGATGCAGACCGGCACCCAGTAAGATTTCAAAATAATTAGACACGTTTAAAATTTTACACTACAAAAGATCTTAATCTATAAAGACTGCATAACTCGTTCTTTGATACGAAAGCTTCTTCTATTCGTGAACTATTAAAGCTAAAACTCCATTGACTTTTTTCCCCGAAAAACAAATGATCTTGACAGTCACCTACTTCAGCAACTAGTTCTTGTCTAATAACTACTGTATATTTTACTCATTACCCTGGGTTAGATTTTTTTTTTTTTTGAAACATTACCCTGGGTTAGATGTTATCATTTTAATCTAAAGAAACTATGTTAACCACCATTTTCATGTTACCAATAGGCAATAGAGATCATCACAGACAATAGTGTATAAGGTCACTGATCATACAAAAATCCACTAACACTATTATTTTTAGGTACCCAATTCCCAGGACATTTCTGTAGATTTGAATAAAGAAAGGGAATATACATTTTATTTGATTCAAGTACTATCTATGAATAGAGTGGAGATGAATAAATGATGAAAGCAAGAAAACAAAAGCAGAACAAAACTACTACTATATGGTACCATGTCATTTTCAACTTTACCTTTGCTTCAGAGTCAGAGAATCTCAAATTCACAAAGCCACAATAAATGCCTTTAAGAGGTGATTCATGTTATCTTTGTGCTTTTTTTTTCGTGGACCGACTCATGTTTAATACTTCAGTACACCATCTTGTGACTCCAATTTCTAATTTTGTTATATAAAAATGAGAAACAAAAGAGGTGAAATTTTGTATAAACGAGTGAAATCAGTTTACAATGTTAGAGAGGATTTAGAGTGAACACTATTTTACAAAAAAAAGGGATTCCAGACACAGTCATACGTGGACGTACGAGGAGGATTTAGAGTGGGTGAGAGATGACTATTACTTGAGAGGCAAGCCATTATCGTACCTAATGGTTCATTACCTTACTAACTTAAAGCTAATAAAGCTTCAGTATAATAAATTATCTTTACTTCTTATGTGATTAGTAAGGCTAAGTAAAGTATTTGCTTACCTCTAACTTATTTGCGGGCCCAGAGGATCTTTTAACTTAGCCTGCAATTTAGAAAAGGAGCAAAATTAATATAAAGAAATTAGACAAACGATGCGCATCAAAGCATACTTATTCCTGAACATAATCATTCAAGTGATGACCTTAGTCACCGACACAGAAGAACTTAGACTTATACTCCCAGTATCTCAGGTTCAACACAGAAGAACATTAATCATTCAAGTGATGACCTTAGTTACTAACTTGATGGACAAGACGACCAATGCAAAAGGAAAAGCCAATAGAGATTTAATCTGGCTCATTCGAAAAGAAGGGGTCACACATGAGGATACACTTGTTCTGTGACTGTACTAATTTGCAACTAACCACGCGCAAAAGTGAACATCAAAGGATTAGGTGAATATATATAACTTCCTTGAGAAGTAACTGAAAAGCATGTGATATTATAAAGAAGAAAATTTTCACCCAAAGAAAAAACTATCCCAATCCCACATCTACTAGGGAAAACAGGGTTTAGAAATGTTACCAAATGGAGAGGATGATTCGGATCTTATGCGTCTCGTGAAGGAGCTTCAAGCTTCTCTAATGAGGAACGATAAACTGGAGAAGGAAAATCACGAGCTGCGTCAAGAAGTGGCTCGCCTACGAGCACAAGTAAGCAATCTTAAAGCACATGACAATGAGAGGAAATCAATGTTATGGAAGAAGTTGCAGAGCTCATATGATAGTGGCAACACAGACGCATCTAATCTGAAAGCTCCAGAGAGTGTCAAATCCAATTTTAAGGGTCATGAGGTAAAGAATCCAAACCTGAAGCCAATGGTCAAAGAACAATCTACAGCAATAAAGCCGCCACCGCCTCCACCACTTCCATCAAAAACAACACTTGGAAAAAGGTCCGTGAGGCGTGCTCCAGAAGTTGTAGAGTTGTATCGTGCCCTCACGAAGAGAGAGTCTCATATGGGCAACAAGATCAATCAGAACGGAGTCTTGTCTCCTGCATTCAACGCAAACATGATTGGAGAGATTGAGAACCGCTCCAAATATCTTTCAGATGTAAGTACACGATAAACCATATCTGTATTTTATTGTGCATGCAAAATCATCCTAAATCATAACAAATAATGTGATGTTTGTGCACTTGCACAGATCAAATCAGACACTGACAGACACAGAGACCATATCCATTCTTTAATCAGTAAAGTGGAGGCTGCAACATTTACAGACATATCAGAAGTGGAGACGTTTGTGAAATGGATAGACGACGAGCTATCTTCCTTGGTTGACGAAAGGGCAGTCCTAAAGCATTTCCCTAAATGGCCAGAACGTAAAGCAGATTCACTAAGAGAGGCTGCTTGTAGCTACAGAGCGCTAAAGAGCCTTGAAACTGAAATTTTGTCATTCAAGGAAAATCCAAAGGAACCTCTAAAGCAGGTCTTGCAAAAGATCCAGTCGTTACAAGACAGGCGAGCATGTATAAAAGAGTATAGCTAATAGAGAACTTCTTGATCTATTCAATTACACTAAGTTAACGTTATTAAATATTCAAACTTTCAGGTTAGAAGAAGCTGTTAACAGCACAGAGAGGACAAGAGACAGTACAGGGAAGAGATACAAGGATTTCCATATACCATGGGAGTGGATGCTCGACGCAGGATTGATCGGACAGGTAGGTGACTGATTAGCTTCTAAAAATCAAATTATGATGGAAACTATCACGTCACGTCTACTAAAGAAGAACACTAGAAATAAAATATGGACTATCATATATGCATGTAAAAATACCTATATTTTTTCATTCCAAACAAACATTGATTGCACAAACTATAAGTTCCATACTGAGTCAAGGAATCATATAAGTGCCAAAACCCATTTAAAAAATGTGACAAGAATCACATTCACTACTAGTACAAATATCACAGAAGAAGTTAAAGAAATTTTACCCTATTTTTGCAGCTAAAATACAGCTCGCTGAGGCTAGCTCAGGCGTACATGAAGCGAATAACCAAGGAGCTGGAATCAAATGGAGGCGGTAAAGAAGGGAATCTGTTGCTTCAAGGGGTCAGATTTGCCTACACAATACACCAGGTACAAAAAAAAATTCATAAAGTAATCTGCTTAATAAAATCCATGTTCATATCTATTCAGTTCTTTCCTGATGACACTAATTCAATATTTCAGTTTGCTGGCGGTTTTGACGAAGAAACGTTACGCATATTTAGCGAGCTAAAGAAGATCACTACAAGTGAATCCCAGAAGTTAAAATAAGTAACGGTTCACAACTTTTCAAAAAGTCGATTTTGAGTATTCAAAGATGTATGTGGTCTGCTGCTGCAGCAGCAAGTAAGAGAGTTTGAAACCATGTTGTAATCTAGCTTTTAAGATTACGCATTAGACATGTAAAATACTATAGCCTAAATTATAGTTCTATATTTCAAGTCTCTTTCTCTTGCATAGATATTAATTTCTACGCATCTCGTTATTCATTCCAACACAACCAGCACAGAAACGAAGCCTACACTCAAATCTATTAAGCTAAAATCGGCATTGAAGCAAAACCTTCACTGAACGATCTGCTCTGTTTCAACATTTTCTGAGCAAATATACATTATAGAATCCTAACTATCATACAAATCATCTCAATGCACAATCCATCTTACACAATCCACCAAATCCTAAACCGTGGGGACCAAAAACTTCCGGCGACGATGGAAAATTAAGAAAAAAACGAAGAAGCGAATAAGCAAACCTCAGATAAATTCTGCGAGTGATGAAATGCTCAAAGTCCAGCTTTCCTCGGCGGTTTTGAATTTTTTTGCTAATCAATTCATCACCATCGATTTTCGAATTCGAGTTTTTGAGAATCTGAAGTGACGAGGAGGCTCACTCACCAGTCAGCAACAAAGGCCCAATAAGCAACAAACTCTAACCCTCAGAGCTTCTCACTAGTTGGTAACAAAGGCCCAGCCCAATAAGAAACAAAATATAACCCGACCCGACCGGAAACGATCCAAACCAAGTAACCAAGCACCACGTATTTGCTCTTATCCGGTTATCACAATGTATACCACTGAGAATACCGATTATTATTTTTTTTTTCTGGAAGCGGCTTCGTTTCTCCTCTTTCACTCAAATCTGTTATTATCACTTTTGATTGATTCGTCTGTTACGCACTGTTTTACCAAATTCAAAATCAAGCGACGGTTATTTCAATGGGATCGAGTGCATCGAAGAACACTGAAGAAGATGAGGATGGTTGTTCCAATGGCGGAGGAGGTCAGCTCTACGTTTCACTCAAAATGGAGAACTCTAAGGTCGAAGGCGAGCTTACTCCTCATGTCTACGGCTCTGTTCCAATCATCGGATCCTGGGATCCTTCCAAAGCTGTGAGCATCGATTCATCTCCCGATTCATACAATATGGAATTTGATAGCGTTTCTGTGTCTTCTTTTGTTGATTTTTTTTTTTTTTTTTGCTTAATAGCTTCCGTTGCAACGTGAATCTGCGTCGATCTCGGAACTAAGCTTCGTTGTTCCTCCTGATCACGGTATGTGAGTTTTGACGTCGATTTGGATTTGACTTGTTTAGGCGATCGTTTAGCTTATAGTTGATGTCACTGGTTAGAATCGAATCGTGTTTCATGTGTAGATACTTTGGATCGAATCGTTTAGCTTATTGTTGATGTCAATTTTTAGGATTGAATCGTGTTCTCTGTGAAACTATACAATCAATTTGTTTTTCATGTGTAGAGACTTTGGATTTCAAGTTTCTGCTGAAGCCAAAGGATAGAAACACGCCTTGCATAGTGGAGGAAGGTGAAAACAGGCTTCTTACTGGTGGTTCGTTACAAGGAGATGCTAGAGTAGCTCTTTTTAAGCTGGAAGGTGATGTGGTTGTTGAGTTTCGAGTGTTCATAAAAGCTGATAGAGTTTCGCCGTTTGATCTTGCTGCTAGTTGGCGAGCTTATAGGGAGAATCTCCAGCCTTCTACTGTACGTGGAATCCCTGACGTCAGTATAAATCCTGATCCAACAGCTCTCGAGGAGGTTTCTTCTTTCACTTTTTTTTAATGTGCCTGCAGTTGTATCGATAAGCAATGTCAATTTTTTAAACAGCAGCAAATGATTTCTCACAGAATTGTCCTTCAGAAAGTTTGGAGCTTGATCTTGAGCATTATGAAGTTCCTGCTCCTGCACCTTCTGCAAACTCGTCCCTTGTTTATGCGGCTGACAATGCAGAGAATCCACGATCTCTTTCAGCTTCTGGTTCATTTGTTAATGACAATACCCCTAAGGCGGCATCGAACAGTCCTAAAGTTTCTGGTGATAGCGTTGATGGTTCGCCATCTACAAAGGTTTCACTTTGATTAGTTTCATGGTAGTTGTCTATCCATTAGTTAATGGTCATCTTTCTTATTTAAATTTGGCATATATGTTACTTGTAGGAAATTAGGATCACTGTTCCCGATTCCTCGGATACCTATTCGGCTTCAGGAGTGGGTGAGACAAAGTCAGTGGGGATACTCTCACCTTTCCAGCACAAAGATGGTCAGAGGGGACTCTTTGTTGATCGTGGAGTTGGCTCCCCTAGGCTAGTCAAGTCTGTTAGCGCAAGCTCTTTTTTGGCTGACCTGAAACTTGATGCGCAAACCAAGGTTTGGAATGAGTTAATTTCTATTTCAAGTCGGACTATCTTAAAATTCAAGAGTTTTTGACGTCGTTTCACTCTTTTCATTCAAACTGTTAGAATTCAATTCCAGCCGCTGCAGGAGCTGTTGCTGCAGCAGCAGTTGCTGACCAAATGCTTGGACCTAAAGAAGATAGACACCTAGCAATTGTTCTGGTAATTTTTCCAAATTGACGCTGTTTATAGTTTCTGCAGAATTTTCAGCTCATGTTTCCTCGTTTAATTATTGGGAGCTGGATGGCTGGCTAACGTATTAACCTAAATGAAAAAGAAGAGACTGATTGTTTTGATTCACACCATTCCCATCACATTGTAATAGGTAGGCTTGCCAGCTCGAGGAAAGACTTTTACTGCAGCAAAGTTGACAAGGTATCTACGCTGGTTGGGCCACGATACAAAACATTTTAATGTTGGAAAGGTTTGCTCTATTATCCTTTCTTGCGTGTTCTGCAATTTTCAACATTTGTTGAAATGTTGACTCAAATCATTGCTCCATTTCTTCACAGTATCGACGGCTAAAACATGGAGTCAACATGGTAAAGCTGGATTTTAAATCGGGGTTTATATGTATCTGCCTTCCATTTTGGATGATTTGTGATGGACATCGAATGAACTTTTTGTAGTCTGCTGATTTTTTTCGAGCTGACAATCCAGAAGGTGTAGAGGCACGAACTGAAGTAAGTGGTGTTTGAATTGCTTAGTTTAGTTAATTTGCGACTGTCATTTGTAATTTGTGCGACTAAATTCCTCTTTATAGTACTTCCAACTTCATTCGTTAGATTGGGAGATGTTTAATTCAGTGATCAATAATAACACTATCTAATTTCTTATTCCACTAGGTAGCAGCACTTGCGATGGAGGACATGATAGCTTGGATGCAAGATGGTGGTCAAGTAAGTATTTTTTTTCAGTTAGATGTTTTCCTGGTTATTATATCTTTCATTCTAAATAGTTTTCATCTGTAGGTTGGGATCTATGATGCAACTAATAGCACACGATCTCGACGGAATATGTTGATGAAAATGGCTGAAGGAAAGTGTAAGGTACTGAAGCATCGAAATGTTGATTGCTTTATGTCATGACGATTTTCTGCTAGTATTGAATTTGTACTTGTTCAGTCACTGATTTTCCTTTTATCTGTCATGTAGATAATTTTTCTGGAAACAATATGCAATGATGAACGCATTATTGAAAGAAACATACGTCTTAAAATCCAGCAAAGTCCTGATTATGCTGAAGAGTACGGAGCCTCTGTCTGCAAACTAATTTTGTCTTCCTAATAGACTTCTTTTACCTGCAACTAAATGCTTATGCCATTCTGCAGGACGGATTTTGAGGCTGGAGTGAGAGACTTTAGAGACCGTTTAGCTAACTATGAGAGGGTCGGTAGACAAACCTGCAGCTTTTATACGTGTCTTAATTACTTTAATAAAGCATAGTTGACTCAGTTGTGGTCTTGGTACTGGATTCCATTGTTTATTCTTTTCTTACCAGGTTTATGAGCCTGTTGAAGAAGGTTCTTACATCAAAATGATTGATATGGTCAGCGGTAATGGTGGACAGATACAAGTAAATTTCTTATTTGTGCTTGATGAAGAAATGTGGCACTGATGGCGTTTTATTCTGATCTCGATAGAATACTAAGTTTTTCCTGACTGTTAATCTCTTCGTTATGCAGGTGAATAATATTAGTGGTTACCTTCCTGGAAGAATTGTGTTCTTCTTGGTATGAATAAGCCATGTCTCTTACTTATTTTCGCCTATTTGTAACATGAAAAATCAGCTTACAAGTTACATACTTGCAAGGGTGATTAACTCATCGTCAACAAAGTCAACATTCATTGGAGAATCATTAAGAATAAGTTAAGTAATCACGAGATCATTATTTGTCAAGCTGATATTATGTATCTTTTATCAGGTGAATACGCATCTCACTCCACGACCAATACTACTCACTCGGCATGGAGAAAGTATGGATAATGTTAGAGGCCGAACTGGAGGAGACAGTGTTATAAGGTATGTCTTTGCTCAGTCACTTCCAAATTCTAAATTTTGAATTTATTATGCCAATTGCTGCTCTGAGCCGATAACTATGGGTTCTAGCTTCCTTTATTTTCCAATTTCATCTTATTCCAATAGTTTGGGTTTGACTACCCTTGCTGATTTTTCCGGTTGACCATTTTTTTCTTTGTTCACCTCTTCAGTAATATGCTAACCTTAGTTTGAAAATTGTATATCTTGTTTAAAATGTGATGTCGGTCCTCGTAACCTTTGTCAATTTTGAAACGCAGTGAATCTGGAAAAATTTATGCGAAGAAACTTGCCAACTTTATCGAGAAGCGACTAAAAAATGAAAAGGCTGCTTCGGTAAGTATTACAGACTATTACAATAGGTGTCAAAGAAAGCTTATTGGCAACTGTGAAACCTCTGAATCCTTCTAGAAAGGTCCAGAAAGAAGTATGGAGAATAAAGATCTTTGCAACTTTCTATTTTCAGATTTGGACCAGTACACTTCAGAGAACAATCATGACAGCAAGTCCCATAGTCGGATTTCCAAAGGTTGGTGTCTACCAACTGCCAGAATATCTCTGAACTCTTTGTTGTCTTGTAAGTATATGTTCATGCAAGGAAAAATCAAAATTTCCTATCTGCATCTGTAGGTACAATGGCGTGCCCTGGACGAGATCAATTCTGGAGTTTGTGATGGAATGACATATGAAGAGATAAAGAAGAACATGCCAGACGAGTTCGAGTAAGTGGCTTGTCAGAATCTGTATATGTTAGAAAAAAAAGTTATCAGTTCTGATTATTAAGAGTTTAGTCTAAAAGAATGTGAGAAAGGGCACCAAAAAATCTATTCTAAAAGCTGGATAAGGGTGATATGCTTACAATTAGATAGTACTAGATGTTCTCTATAGTTTCTGCTCATCATAAAGCCACGAAACTAGATTGCAAATTGTTGAACAAAAAAACTTACTCCCATATTGCATACTGTATGGTGAATGTGAGCTCTTACTCTTCTTTAATCATCTAGTGGTGCACAATATGTGACTGCAGATCTCGGAGAAAGGACAAATTGCGATACAGATACCCCCGTGGAGAGTCCTACCTTGATGTAATTCAACGGTATGTTTGTTTCATCTTCTTTTTTTTTTGACGTTCAGTAATAAACTGAAAAACTCAAGCAAACTTTGCTTCTTTGACAATTGTAGACTGGAACCTGTGATCATTGAGTTAGAACGACAAAGAGCTCCTGTCGTCGTGATATCTCACCAGGTTATACTCCAAACTATCCGTAACACTTAGAAACACACACACACAAAATTTGAATTGAATCTTTTGACTTGTTAATGAGTTCCTCGTACTGTTGCTTGGTTTCTACGTAGGCCGTTCTGAGGGCTTTGTATGCATATTTTGCGGATCGTCCCCTCAAAGAAATACCCACTATCGAGGTAATCTGAATTAGAAAATATGGGACTGTATGCTAAAAAACATTTAAGTGGATAAGACGTACACATAATAATAACATCATTGCTATGTATGAATGTCTATAACAGATGCCACTTCACACTATAATAGAGATACAGATGGGAGTTTCTGGTGTGCAAGAGAAGCGCTACAAACTCATGGACTGATTAGTTACGTCAGATCACAACAGCAACTCTTGTTCGAAATGAGTCTTCACTCCTCACGTTACCGCTCTATCTTCATCCCTAATAGACACCTATTGCTACTAATGATACCGATGCATGAGTCATTGGTCTCAACCCAACCCAAGTATACATTGTTGGAACTTGTGGTTTTAGTTTCCTTATTTAAAATGAGAAAAGCCAAACAGTGAGAGACAGAGTTTGATCAACATTTGATTTTTAGACCTATCACATTTTTAGGGTATCATGTTACATAGCACGAAAGAAAGCAGATGTGTTTATAGCAGGCCTGTGATGTTGACGTACGACGATAAAGAGGTTTTAATACGTTTCAACAAATCCCAAATCGTATTGACTCCTTTCATGCAAACCAGAGGGAAGCGATTCACTTTGATTCTGCCAACGAAATCGGCGGATAAATATTTGGCACAAGCAGCTGGCACTTTATTACCTTTGTAAGCCTTGCAGATGTAGCTTATGAAATTTTCATAGTCCTGCAGTAAACAGAATATGTATGAGGTAAGTTCACAGCCAAGAAACATCAAGCACATATATACACATGCAGAGAGCTTCTGTTCCCATTGATTAATGGATTCTTATGTCATGAGAATCTTCTGGAGACAGTGACACTTCTCATCTTCCCATAAGAGAATTGAGTATAGAGAGATATTCATGAACAGAGAGTAAGAGAGCGTGTATTGGTCATGGTAAGAGCTCAATAAATCCTATAAGGAATCATACTAAACGAACCTCATAAAGTGGCTGACCATCAACGACTACCCATGGCACATATTCATGAGGCGGCTGAAGTGCACTAGTTTCTGCAGCATACCGCAACTCAAGCTGCAGCAAGTGAAAATGATTAGCAAGAAATGCACTAATCTGTGAACAATATAACCAAAAATCTGCAAAACAAGATGTTACAACTTACAAGAAATACAGATATATAACATGGAAGTGAGTTTATGAAGTATAAAACAACTTAGAATATCCTTCTATAACCAGACAACACCATTGCAGAATGGTAACATGGGTTAACCATATAAACAGAAGAAACTAACCTCTTGTCCATGTCCACTGCTGAGGCAATCAGCAACAGGCTTTGAGCTCATATTGAGCTTCTCATAACAAGTCTCCCACTTCTCATACTTGTGTTCTGTCACCAAACTCTCAACACAGTAGATGAAAGGGAAATGATCGCTCTGCATAAAAAAATTGACGATCTCACACAACTATGTCTTAAGAGTATAACTTGCTCCACACGACAATCAGATCTCCTCATCAGACTTACCAGTTTCGGCCAAGAATCAATTGCACAAGCTTCCACCGTATCCAAAAGGCATTCAACTTCCCCGTGCTACAACAATAGGCAGACAAGGTTTTATGTGATCGAATCTGATACTGTAGAAAAAAACAAGAAGTACCTGGCAAAGGGCAGTGACATTGTCTGGACGGAGGTAGGTGTTTCCCCATGGAGATAGGTGGAGATCAACGATGGATATGAGATCATCTTCAAAGAGCTTCACGAGGTTGTCAACTATGAATGAAGAACAGGCTGGACAGAGCGACTCATAGTACAGGCTCAGCGAGACTTTCGACGAAGATGGTAGAGATACACCAGAGAGATCAGATGATGATGACGACAATGATACAGAACATAGAAGAGAAACGTAACAGATTAGGAGAAGATGCTTGCTCGTCGGCAACATCGACGCCATGAATGCAGAGACAAACGTTGACTTTTTGTTTTGGTAAATTCCTTCGAAGACTATTACATAAATAATATACTTCGATCCTCGCGAAAGATGTGACAATAATTTTATTATGGTAATGATTAAAGACACGAGCTAGATTCCAAAGACACGTGACAATAATTTATATCATCGTTGGAGTTGTTATTACAACGAACACAAATTAAACGCAGGCTCTGCAAGTTAATTTGCCTTTAGTTTACATAACGGGCCGAGCGTATATTTAAATTTTGTGCACGTCCCCTTTCCAAACTGAAACAAAAATATTCATTTGTTACCACTCAATTCGTAGCTTAAAATACAAAATAAATAAATAAGACTGTAAATTCTTTGAAGTCTTGAAGACCAAATATTTCATAAGTTTTTTACCAAAAAAAATATATGTTTCATAAGTTCTTGTCAAAAGAAATTGTATTTACTTCCTATAGTCATATTAAAGATATTCTCATGTACGTCATACGTATGTTATATAAGTAAGAAAATAGTAATTCAAGTGCTTACGTACGTAATTATTTTACATATGTGAATATGATATATGCAGTATTCAAGTGTTTACGTAGTTATTACAAAATAAATAAATAGCACTGTAGATTCTTTGAAGACCTAATATTTCATAAGTTTTTGTCAATGAATTTTATTTGCTTCCTATAGTCATATTAAGATACTCTCATGTACGTTATAGGTATGTTAATATAAGTAAGAAAATAGTAATTCAAGTGCTTACGTAGATATTTTACATATATGATCATATATCAGTATTCAAGTGTTTACGTAGATAGTTTTGAAGACCTTGTATTCTAGTCAAATGCATGCATTTATATTAATATAAAAGAAAGGGAAAACAACATTACATTATAGCTGTCTTCTGTGACTCGGCCACTAGTATAAAGAGGAAAAGAGAAATGAAATGGTCACTAGTGAGCTCCAAAGGAGCAGTAATAGAGGTCCCACTACTTGCATTCCAAGCTGGACTCTCAAAGCCAATCAGCTTGGGACTACCCCATCACTTTTGGGATAAGATGCCACATCCTATATTAGTTACACTTACATCACATGTAAAAGTATTAAAGAAAATGTTCACCCAAAAAAAAATATTAAAGAAAATACCTAAGCTCTGTAAAAAATATCTATATATCTATGTTTTTTTCTTGTTATGAGGTTGGATAGACACAGAACAATATAAGAGTGGAGAGAAGAAAAAAAAATAGAGGAAAAGATAAGACATATATGGATACACAAAGATTACCCAAGAAAGAAGAAGATGATGATTATCAACCTTCTTCAACCATCGAGTCAATAAATGCTTTCTCTCATGACCAACACAGCTACTCTATGGATGATTTCGAGAGCATTTTCGACCTCAACCTTGACGGTTCAAAATGCTCTCAAGAACTCACGTGGGATTTCTTTAAAGAAGATGAAGATGTAGAGGAAGAAGAAAAAAGATTGAGTACTGATCAAGAAGGCTCAAGTTCTGGGGTTTGGGATAACATGCCAACGGATTATGAAGACAAAGAGTTGGGTCTGAAGCTGAACTTGAACCATCAAGAAGTTATTGATGCTTGGTCTGATCGCCCTCAGAAACCTCTGTGGACAGATACTTCAATGCTAATGGCTTCGGCTAATCCCCTTTATGTTAGTTACTTCTTATCTATTACTTGTTGTGTAAGTTATCACTAGTAATTTAATTTTGATTATTAATGATTTTTAAAAGTGTTCGTCGTCCAGAGTGGAGAAGTACCGGTGATGGATGAAGAAAGAAACACGAGAAGAGAAGCGAGTGTGCTGAGATACAAAGAGAAGAGACAAAGTAGGCTCTTCTCTAAGAAGATAAGGTATCAGGTCCGAAAACTCAACGCTGACAAACGACCTCGTTTCAAGGTGTCTCTCTTATTCCTTGTTTTCCTTCTACATCTTAACATGAACTCGTTTTAATTATCGTTATTTACTTTCATGACACTGATTAATTTTGTGCTATATAACCCTAAAACTTATACTGTTATTATGAATTTTCTTGCGTTTAATTGTCTTTTAAATTATTTGTAGGGTCGGTTCGTGAAAAGGGAGACTTAAATGGGAAAAGAAAATATCTCGAATCTTCGATGTGTCTTTTTTATTAGCATTATCATTATGAAGATATTTATTTCCTATTTTATTTGTAATTTTTGAGATATCATTATCATCTTTTACAACTTTGTCAAATTTGAAAAGAAAAGATCTCCTTGACAAAAATGAAAAAGAGATGCAAAATATCTTGTAAAGCAGAGTTGAAGATTATATGAAGAGGACGTTTATGGCAAGTCTCTGTTGAGTTTGGTGGAACCTAAGTCTAAAAAAAGGGTTCATCACCACATGTTTGAATCCAAAACTAACCTGTCATCCTTTGTCGGGGCCAGTGTACCACTTCCAACTGTGTATCAATAGCATAAACTTCATATTACTGTCAGTGAATGAAAATGCTCCTTTACAACTGACGTTCAGATTGCGTTAATTAAAAGAGCATGATTAATTCAAAGATTGTAGTTGTGTTTTTTCCCAAGAGTTTTAGTTGTTAAATAAAAATTTTGAAACGACGATCTAAGAAGATCAAACTGATGGGGTAGTGGTTCATTTACGAAGTTTAAACTTCACTTCAAACTACCTTTTTTTTTGCTAAACTGCTAATATATATCATTAGTGATTTGAAAGTTTACAGAAGTTGCAAAGCTTTAGATTTGTTCATCAAAAAGAAAAAAAGAAAAAAAAACTCTAGTTACTTTGGATTGATGAATATGGAAGCTCAATATCCAGATCACTTCCCTTCAATGTCTGACTTTGCATCGGTTGTACAAAAGCCATGTTACTTCCAAGCATGCGGTGAACCATATCCTCGTCTCTAGAGTTCAAAATGAGTTGACACTTTGGAAATTAATAACAAAACAACAAGCACCAGTGGTCTAGTGGTAGAATAGTACCCTGCCACGGTACAGACCCGGGTTCGATTCCCGGCTGGTGCATTTCTGAGCTATGAAGAAATTGGCTTCAGCATTGGTTGGGTCCTTTGCATTCATGAACTCCCCCCTTGGGGATTCTCACAAATAAAAGATTTTTTTTACTTAAAAAAAAAAAAAATTTTAATAACGGACCAATCACTAGCTGACACGTAGTGAATCCGGGGTCATCATCGGGGTTCACCGCGGTGAACTTTTGAGAGAGGGGTTCATAAAAATCTGATTTTAATATTATTATTTTTTCTTGGTTTGCGTGTGAACTCTCCCATCATCCCTTGATGGGGGTGCTCTTATGACTATTCAAGTCTGGATTGGACCTTAGAATGGGCCTTACAAAAATTTCATTTTATATCTATAACTCATCATCCGACGATCTAGACGGCGGAAAAACGACGACATAGAAGGGACGGATTAACGGAGACGGCGTCTCTAAGGCCTCTCTAACGGCCTTTCGTCTCATCTGTTAGTATAAATAGACACGCCGCGCTCCGGAATCTCCCATGGAGCCGAGCCGCACGCTCCCCGCACGCTCCCCGCACGCTCCCCGCACGCTCCCCGCACGCTCCCCGCACGCTCCCCGCACGCTCCCCGCATGCTCCCCGCACGCTCCCCGCGCGCTCCCCCCCAGCACGCTCCCCCTGCGTGCTCCCCACCGCCGTGCTCCCCACCGCCGCGCTCCCCGCCCTCTCCCAAGCCGCGCTGGCCGCCCTCCCCCGAGCCGCGCTGGCTGCCCTCCCCCGAGCCGCGCTGGCCCCCGCACGCTCCCCGCCGCCGCGCTCCCCGCCGCGTCCCCGCCGCGCTCCCCGCCCCGGGGGCTCCTGCTCCCCCCGGAGGCGCGCTCCCCGGAGATGGCGGCGCGCAAGCTCCCCCCGGAGCCGCCCTCCCCCCGAGCCGCGCTCCCCCGAGCCGCGCTCCCCCGAGCCCCGAGCCGAGCGCGCTCGCGCTCCCCCGAGCCGCGGCGCTCCCCCGAGCCGCGCTGGCCGCCCTCTCCCAAGCCGCGCTGGCCGCCCTCCCTCGAGCCGCGCTGGCGCTGGCCGCCCTCCCCCGAGCCGGCCCCCGCACGCTCCCCCTGCGCGCACCCCTTGCGCGCACCCCTTGCGCGCTCCCCGCCGCACGCTCCCCGCCGCACGCTCCCCGCCGCCGCGCTCCCCGCCCCAGGGGCTCCCGCTCCCCCCGGAGATGGCGGCGCGGCCCGCTCCCCCCGGAGCCGCCCTCCCCCCGAGCCGCGCTACCCCGAGCCGCGCTCCCCCAAGCCCGGCTACCGCGAGCCGCGCTACCCCCGAGCGCGAGCTCGCGCTCCCCCGAGCCGCGCTGGCCGCCCTCCCCCGAGCCGCGCTGGCCGCCGCCGCCCTCCCCCGAGCCGCGCTGGCCGCCGCCGCCCTCCCCCGAGCCGCGCTGGCCGCCGCCGCCCTCCTCCGGAGCCGCCGCCCTCCCCCGGAGCCGCCCCTCCCCCGGAGGCTCCCCCGGAGCCGCCCTAAACCCCGAGCCGCGCTCCCCGAGCCGCGCTCCCCCGAGCCGCGCTCGCCCTCCCCCGAGCCGCCAGCGCGGCCCTCCCCCAAGCCGCGCTGGCCGCCACCGCCCTCCTCTACCGCCCTCCCTCAGAGCCCCGGAGCCGCCCTCCCCCGGAGCCGCCCTCCCCCGGAGCCCGGGAGCCGCCCTCCCCCGGAGCCCCGGAGCCTCCTCCCCCGGAGCCCCGGAGCCTCCTCCCCCGGAGCCCCGGAGCCGCCCTCC